AAATTGGACGATCGTGTTCAAACTGCAGTGTTGATGACGACACGTTATGTGGTGATGCTAGATGGACTGGACTGTAGAATGTGGGGCGTGTGGGTATATGGGTCCTTTCTTCTTAGGTGATGCTGCGTCGACTGGGTGGTAAAATGTTGGGTAACCAAGAGAAACAAGAGAAAAAGGACAGAAAAAGAGAAAAAGCACAAAGGAAAAGAGAAATAACACAAAGAAAAAGAGAAATGAGAGAAAATAAAGAGCACACTGTCACATTGTTAGTTGGTGCTCTATGGCCTGGCCGATACCATGTGGGACAATTGTGGTCTGGCAGTGGGCAGCGGGTACTCTGTGGGGTGGGTCATACTATGTGACCTCGAAGGGTACAACATGTGATGCTACCTGTGCTGGGCAGTACAATGGGTATGTGGGTGTTCACATTGGAATCCTGTGAGGCCAAAAAAAGAAAAGCGAAAAGCAAAAAACAAGCAAAAACTTAAAGGAAATAGCGGAAAATAAAGCGGGAAATATCAATCTGATTCCTCACGATTCAAGCTCATGACCTTTTTGCCAACCATCACATGTATCGCTCATCCACATCTGCCAGGTATGTACTTGTATTCAAACAACTCTGCTCGCCCGAGTCTCTGCGCTCCGTCTGTATGCGGAATAGGATTATAGGATACACCAAAAGGAGAGGAAGTCCGGGAAGTCACCCCAAAAAAAAAACAAAAAACACTACCAACATCCGAAAGGACAACTGGATAAAGAAATCGTGCACAGAAGTTAAAAATGAAAGCAGAGGACCCTGGGGTGAGGTCGAGTTACATGATTGTGGTAGCTCAGCGTTGAGTTTTAAACCACGTGTGGTATGTGGGACAGAGCCCTGCCTTCGATCTGCTGGAAATTGATAGGTAGTGAGATATTCAGCACGAATCTATTAGATTGCTGTATTCGAATTCAATTTCTAGATTTTGTACTCCCTTGAAATCCATGTTCTTGCATGCTTGCCCCTTTCGGTTTGGGCAGGAAACACGATTTCTGTTGGACTAGCTGCCCCTCTCGAGGTATGGTGGCTATCTCAGCAGCTGTGCCTTTTCCTTGTTCAGCCAGAGATGTTGATGGTGTGTTTGGTCCTGCAGCCTCAGAACGTTTCCTTATTTGGGCAGCAAATGCACAGGGCCACACAAGCTGTCAATATTCATTTCACGACATAGTGAGGTCTCCAACTTCATGTAGTATACGGAGAGTGTGGACCCTTTCTCGATTTATGCGTGTCATCCTTGCACAGGGGCCATGCTAGTCTTCTTTGTATCATTCCAATTTTAACGCATGTTCCGAAGGACGTATACGGAGAGTTTCACTCAGACATAATTTGTTTCCCCATTTCACGAGGAGAAGACATGGAGGACGAGGAAGGGCAGGAGGAGGAGGATGAGTCCGAGGAGACGAAAAGGAGCAGGAGGAGGAGACATGGAGGACGAGGAAGGGGAGGAGTGAGGTGAGGCGGCACTCCTCCAGCCCGCTTCAAATTTTGGCGGAGGGCCTGGAATGCGCCGTTTCGACCCCTGACATTTTATTCTTTTTTTTGAGGGGGGGTTACGGGTCGTTCCTGGCACACGTCGCGCGCCGCATGGGAACAGTCGGTGCGTGCGCCCCACGTAGGGAACCGTGTGCACGACGTGTGCTTGCAAGTATGATCAAAACATATTCTAAAACAGTGAAATGGCGGGTAGATGGGGGGTTATAGGAGGATGACAAGGAAAACGACGATGGAGAGTAGAGATGGAGGGGATATGGCGGGGAGATGGCGATATGGCAGAAGCCAAACCCATGAACGGGAAACACAAAAAAAAGAACAAAAAGGTTTGCGATTTCCAGTGATTTCCAGCGGAGGGGATATGGCGGGAAGATGCGGGGTTATAGTAGGAGGACCAGGAGGATGATGGCGAAGAGTACAGATGGAGGAGGAGTACTCTTCGTCGTCGTCCTCCTGGTCACGAAACTTTTTTTTTTGTGTGTGTTTCCCATTCATGGATCCGGCTTCCGCCATATCCCCATCTCCCCGCCATACCCCCCCCCCCCCCCCCCCCCCCAAAAAAAAAAAAAAAAAAAAAAAAAAAAAAAAAAAAAACCCCCCACAAATCCGGACGGTGCAGGGCTGAGAGCGCACGGCTCCGCACAAGTCTGCACCCACACAGGAACCCTCCGCACACCGTATGCCGCACCTGTCTCAGAAGAAGGGCTAAAGAGGCAGAGGAGTAGAGGAGGAGGGGGTGAGGGCAAGAGCGGGACGAAGAGGAAGGTGGGAACGGGGTGAAGAGGGATGAAGAAGAGGGGTGGAGTAGAGGAGGAGGAAGGTCTGAAGAAGTGGAGGAAGAGAAGGGGAGTAGAGGTTGAAGGGTTTGTTAGCAAAACCTGAAGGAGCAGGCGGCAGCAGAGGAGAAAGTATGAGGGAAGAAGTGCAGGGTCTCTGGGAAACCTTGGAGGAAATGGGGTCGGGGGAGGAGAACAAGGAGAAGCAGCAGGAGGTGCAGCGGAGGGATACGGCATGTCATCGAAAGAACAACAAGAAGGATCATCATGAATTGATAAGGATGGGAGGAGAGAGCAGAAGAAGAGGAGACAATGTATTGGAAGGATGAGAGGAGAAAGCAGAAGAGGAGCCAGGGGAGGGGGGGTGGAGCACGGGGAATGAATCAAAGATGGCAGAGGAGAGTAGGAGGAATACTGACGAGACTTGTGAAAGGGTTTTTGGTGTCCTTTGGGCCGTCCGTTAAAATTGGAGTGATGCAGAGAAGATTCAGATGCCCCCTGCACACTCAAGGATGATGCACACAAATCGAGAAACAGTCCAGAGTATTTAAAGAGGAGAAACAAAAAGAAGCATTTCAGGAGCTTCAAGGAAGAGGAGGAGGGGGGAATGGAAGGGCAAAATGTGTGATGGCATCAAGAAGGGTGCCCCAGAGGACCATCATTGTGCAACTCTGACTGACAGCTGTAGTGATTGCTGAAAAGATGTGAAAAGTTGTTGATTGTGGTCCCGGCACGTCCTGCCACGTCAACGGTTGTCTTCTACCGGTGCAATATACTTAGTGTGGAGGCCCCTAGCATCAGAGGGAGGGAGGGGTGTGACTCCATAGTGCCGAAAGTGTGTTTCTCAGAACCCTAGTTTCTTCTAGCGGAACGGTCTGCGGAATAAAATACCCCTTGCTACTTTGTCACCTGCCTCATGTTAGTTTTTGACTTGCTGCTACTCTCCTCATCCTCTTCTCCCTCTCTCTCTCTCTCTCTCTCTCCCTCTCTCTCTCTCTCTCTCTTTCTCTCTCTCTCTCTCTCTCTCTCTCTCTCTCTCTCTCTCTC